CAAGTTTCTTCCAAATGGTGGAGGGTAAAAAAAGTTCGACCCGGCCGAACTTAGCTGCTTTTTAACTTGTTTTAGTTAAATTTGTTTCTTACAGCTCCCTTCCATCTCAAAACTGTCCAAAAATACTTATACTCATTATTTTTTTTTTTTTTTCATTTCTTTTTCATTTCGTTTCCATATTGAACATAATGTCAGAGTATAAATCAAATGTTGATACTTTCCAAGATTTTTGAATTTTATTAACCCCTCAAAAGTTAACATACATAAAAAATATATATATAATAACATAAATTTACTTTTGTTAATTATTTTTTTCTTGGCATAATATTTTATGTTTTCCTTTGTTCTTCATCTCTTTATTCCACTGCCGCTGTGACGGTAATAAATCATTAAAGCTGTTTTTATTTTCTTCTCGAAATGAGGTTATGTGGCGTTTCTTTTTCGTTTGCTATGCTCCATCATTGAATTACTTGAATAAATCCTTTTCTTCTTTTTTTGGCTGAGAAGCCTAACAATGTTGCACATTTAGTTGAACTATAAAAACTGAAATTATTATTTCATCATAACCTTTGGTGTTCGCAGCAATTATACATGGCAACAACTACTTACTAGTTCAGCTACAGATGATGTGAGGGGAGAAAGGAAGAAGGGAGCAAATTTTTATACCTAGAAATGTTGGAAGGGAGATAATGAAGGAAGATATGTCATACCTTGGGCAGGAAATTTATTGTAAAGGGAGCATATTTTCAAGAATATGAGAAGGAAACTCAGTTAATTATTTTTAGGATCAAATTTTAAAAGGTTGACCGAGTTCCAAATCGTTGATATATGAAATAGAGCAAAACTTAAATTTTTAGATTTTCATTTGGAAGAAATTCTGGACCTAAATACAGGGTGAGATAAAAAACTGCAACAAAGGACATAAATGCAGGGTGAGATAAAAAACTGCAACAAAGGACCTAAATACAGGGTGAGATAAAAAAAACTGCAACAAAGGATATAAATGAGATAAAAAACTACAACAAAGGACCTAAATACAGGGTGAGGTAAATTTTTTTAAATTTTTTTGAATGAATGCAAAATATGTCGGAAATAACATCAAATTTTAGAATAAGTTTAGATTTGTTCGAATAGGCCGAAATTATGGCCTTCAAACGGCCAATTAAACCGTCAAACGCAGCCCGAATGTTGGGTATTTTGGACTATTCCCGGCGAAGCGCTTGCTTGAGGTGAACGACACTTTGGTATTTTTTTAGTGCCAGCCATACTTTCCAAAATACTCCAGACACAATACTAGAACTGATTGGTATCCAGAGGTTTTGGTGGCCATTGTGCTGAGTGCTGAGTGCGGTGGAATGTCCTATTGGACTGCCAAACGTCCGCGGTCAAACTGTTCGCGTGCCCAAGGCTTTAATACACCCTCCAGAATATTTTTATTCTGATGCTGCGGTCGATTAATACGAGCGGAGAGCGACCATCGGCTGTTATGACGGCCCACACCATGGCCGGCGCTTGAGTTCTGGTGACCAACCGAAGGTGCACATGTTCAGCTGACCTCTTTGGCAAGTAAACACGATCAATTTGTTTGGTTAACAAACAGCTGGACAATGAATTTTTTGGGAATTTTGGGAAAATGAAATGGAAATTCGGAGAAAACCAAATTCTTCAGTTCACCACTTTCGGCTAAGCGTATCAACTCTTAAGCTCTTTTGAGTCTATTTTCTTTCTGTTGCGGTGTAAGTTCTTACACTTTCTGGAATTTCAATGGCTTTACCCCGAGCCTATGTTTCAATATTAGCCGAATGGAATATTGCGATATGTCCAGCTCCCGAGCCATTTTTTGGCCACTGTGACGCGGGTTTCGATCAAGTCGCTTCTTTATATTTACTGGAAAAATTTTGACAGCTGTCGGAAGAGTGGCTTAGAAATGACAGCAGTCTGAAATTGGTTGCAGTTGTTTCTTCTCATCCTGTATCTTTGACTTTTGAAATTCAAAATAATTCTGGCCCCCCATATCTCCCAGAGATTTGCCAACACAGCATCCGGTGAAATTTTTATGTTACCTCTTCTCTCTATTGCCTTCAATTTTTTTCTTTTCATTTTCGCTACCCTGCCGACGAATTATAAATTGAAATAATATTCGGCTGCATGCATTTGCTTTATGGTCATAAAATCTTCGAGTACTTAAAAAATATTTCCGTACACAAAGCATAAAATTTAGCAATGGCATAAAGTGAAATGCCGACAAAAGTATGTTTGTATACCGAATAGCTAAGAAACAAACAAGACTCTGAAAACAATGTGGCTGGCCATGGCTGGTGGCGAATACTGCTCATGTCGTACGTTTCATTTTATAATGTTGACAAAATGTATTCTTTTTTTGGTTTAAGGGGACACGCATAATTACAAACACCTAGTTCTTGGCGGCTTCTCCTTCGGATCTTATCGTTCACCCCATCTTCAATTGAAATCAATTTTGTTCTCTCTGGTTTCACATACGCATCATAAGTGCCAAAACAATATAAACATAGACTCACATTACGGCGTAGGACCACCACCAAAGTTCGCCACCAAATACAATGGGGCGAACGCGACACATCGTTCATTGCCAGCCATCATCATCTTAGAGTTTGTTGTCGTCTTCGTCATCACCCCAAAGGCATCAGCAGTTCTACGAAAGGCCATAAAAAAATCTGGCTGGTTTTCTTTTTTCTGTGGCCGACCGGCGGCCATTATTCCGCCAAACTTAATGACTTTTGAAGTTTTGCTGTTGATTGTTTTCTAGTTCGATTTTTTGGTCTGATGAGATGGCGTTGACGTTGACTTGTTTAGGAATGGAATAACATATCCCTTTGGCAATAATTGTGCGAACAATATTTGGAATTTTGATATGACAAAAAAACTCATAAAATTTCGAAAAAAAAAAAATTGTGTTCGGATTTCTAAATTTTGGCAGTTGTGCGGTTTTTGTTTAACTTTGGGTTTTATTGCTACATTAAATTATTTTTGTGTGCTTTTTACGTCTGCCAAATAATGAATTTTGAGGAAATTTAGTTGCGCTTGGGCGAATTTTGACAAACATGATTTACGTGACAATATCTCAGTAAGCATATCGTCATAAATTTTGATGATGAATAAAGAATTTGTAATGACCGGGTGAAGATGTGTAAATTACGCTATGAAAAGCCATGTGGATGAAATCATAGAAACAAAAACATTTGGGATTAAGAGCGCTACTGCAATTTGGCCGGGTAGATTCATATTATGCTGCTTTCCGGGAGCTTTTCTATATTCTACGAAGACCTCTGCGAGTGCTCTTTTATATTTTATAGAGAGAGCGAGAGCGCTTGTATATTCTATAGAGAGAGCAAGAGCTCTTCCATATTCTATAGAGAGAGCGAGTGCTCTTGATACAGGGTAAGATGAAAAAACTGCACGGAAAACTGGACGGAAGAAAACAGCAACTTCATCAGAAATGGTTCGAAAAGAAGCGACTTGATCCAAAATCCGCATCGCAGTTGCATAAAAATGGCTCGTTAGCTGAACATATCGCAATATTCCATTCGGCAAATATTGAAAAATGAGCTCGGGGTAAAGCCTATGAAATTCCAAAAAGTTCAAGAACTGACACCGCAACAGAAAGAAAGTAGACTCAAAAGAGCTAAAGAGGTGAAGAGGTGAACTGCAGAATTTGGTTTTCTCCGATGACGCCAACTTCGGTTGACCACCAGAACTCAAGCGCCGGTCATGGTGATGGTGTGGGCCGCCATAGCCACCATTGGTCGCTCTCCGCTCGTGTCGTAATAGACCGTGGCATTAGAAAAATGCGGGATATTATCCCGACAATATTCTGGAGGGTGTATTAGAACCTTTGGCATGCAAACATTTTGGCCGCAAACCTTGGACATTCCAACAGGACACGCGCCACCCAAGAGTGGTTACAAAATGAGGTTCCTCGCTTCATTTCCAGGGCACAATGGCCTCCGAAATCTCCGGATACCAATCCGTTGGACTATTGTGTCTGGAGTATTTTGGAAAGTATGGTTGGCACTAAAATATACCGAAGTGTCGATCACCTCAAACAAGCGCTTCGCCGGGAATGGGCCAAAATACCGCAGAGCAACATTCGGGCAGCGTGTGAAGGTTTCATTGGCCTTTTGAAGGCCATAATTCGTGCCAAAGGTGACCAATTCGAACAAATCTAAACTTATTCTGAAATTTGATGCTATTTCCGACATTTCTTGCTTTCATTCAATAAAATGTAAAAGTAATGCCGTTTGACTTTGACTCTCCAAGAGCTCTTCTAATTTCTATTGAAGACCTCTCCAAAAGCTCTAAACCTCAACGAAGGCTCTTATATATTCCACAGAAGACCTCAACGACAGCCCTTCTCTATAATCTATAGAAGGCTTCTCCGAGCTCATCTCTTAAGGTCTCTTCTAGTTATTTTAACCTAGAGTGATCTTCTATCATATATAAGACCGATCCCTGCTTTTCTATGATATAGGAGGTCTTATTGAGGTCTTCTACTCTCGAGATTCTCTCTCTGAAGTGTTTCACTTTGTAGTTGATCTCTCCAAAGTCTTATACTTTGTAGATAATCTCTCCGGGGTTTTCTACTATAGACAAGCCCTCTTAAGTCGTCTATTCTATATATGACATCACCGAGGTCATCTATTCTGTACATGCTCTCCCCGAAGATTTCTTCTCTACGATATGATCTCCCTGAAGTCTTCTATTTGTAGATTTTCTACTCTACGAGGTTTTCTACTCTTTACATGACTTTTCCGACGTCTATTGTTTTATAGATGACCTCTCCGAGTTTTATGTAGGCTTCTCTAAGGTCTTTCATTTTTTGTATTCTGTGGAGACCCCAGAGAGGCCTCCATTTTGTTGAGTGTTATTTTTTTGCTTTATATATCAATATTCTGTATGCTAAAATGGACCTCTATCAAACGTTTAATTATATTTCTCTCTCCCTCTCTCTTTTCTCATTACAGAGACGATTGAACTGTCCACTCAGCAGATGGCGCTCTATTAACTGTGTAAATAACAAAAGAGTCCGCTACGAAAGAAGTAACAGCTTTCAAAATTACGCTAATTACAACAAAAAAATTTGATATCCTCATCGTTCTAAAAATATATATATTTTTTCGTGATATTAAAATAAAGAAAAACTACAAAATTAAGAACTCAAGTATATATTTCATATTAACTAAATAAGGAAATTATTAAATCAATAAAATTAAAAAAAAAAAACAATAAAATTATTTGTGGCTGTACACTTTTCCTATAACCAGTACTTCTTTATCTCATTCCGTCTATTGCGCCAAATATAACAAGGATCATTGAAAAAAGAAAACTTAACAATGGAATGAAAATACCCACACATACAGACAGACACACACACACATAAAACATCCAAACATAAATGGATGAATGAATGTAAATGTAAGCTTTGTTAAGATTTAAACAACAACAAAAACAAATCATAAAAAAAACCAATTGTGAATGTTTATTTATAAATATTTTTTAAATAAAATCTAACTTTTTAAAGAAATTATGTAGAGAAAGAACAACAACAACAAGTCATTAGATTATTTATTATTATTAACATTATTATAAATGTATGTTTGGTCATAAGGCAAAACAAAAAAAAAACAACGGAGAAAAAATCATAAAACTACAACAACAACAAAATAAGCACATTGAATAGCAAATATGATCTCAATGAATTACAGATGGAAATTGTACACATTGTATATAAAAATTAATATGAAAATTAAAAAAATATTTAAAAATTATTAAAATAAATAAATAAATGTATATGTAAAAAAAATACTAAAATAAATGTTTTCTTTTTTTATTTTTGAGTTATTTTGAAAAGGTTTACAGTTCAAATTGGTGTGTAGAAGCTTGAAGGAGAGCTTTTGGGAATTAAAGCAAAAAAAGGTAAAATTTTAAAAGGCCAAAAACTAATTTTTTTTTTATTTTTATTTATATATCCTGATATCGTATGTATTAACTTTTGTGTGTTCGTTCGTACTTAAATTTGGCAATTGTAATTGTTAAACATATTAAAAGTCCTAATTATGGACATATAACCACGTATTTTTGTGTAACATTTACCATGAAGTCCATTTTGTTAAAGTTCAAAAATATTTTTAAAAAGTAGTTTCAAAAGTAATATTTAAAAAAAATTCTCTAAAATACAATCAAAAAATTATTTAAAAAAAACTAAAGCTTTCATATTTTTGGTTTTCTTACAAATACATACATTACAAATACACATTCATAAAAATTATTTCTTTGAATTTTTTTTTTTTTTAAATATTTCTTACATTTCTACGTCTTTAAAAGTTGATAAATTTTAATCCAAAAAAACATTTTCCAAAAATTAGTGTTCTTAAAAAATAGTTCTAAAAAATTCATGGTATTAAAAAGAGCCACGTCCTTGCATAAGATTTCTAAAAATCAACGTTCTTAAAAATTTTTCCTAAAATCTATGATTTTAAAATAAATTGTAAAAAATATAGGTCTTTAACTAGTAAAGAAAGTCTAAAAGTCGGGCGGGCCGACTTTATGATGCACTACACCCTATTGCATATTTAGTAGAGCTTCATATAACAAATAAAAAATTATAAATCGGATTATACTTGGAAGCTATAGCTGTATCTGAACCGATTTTCACCTAATTTGACAAACTTGTTTTCTATGCTCAATTTGATGGTAAGTGCCGAATTCCATCCCAGTAGTTCCAATATTGCACGTTCGGTGCACTATAAAATGAAAATCGGACGAAAATATTTATTGGAGCTATATCCAAACATGAACCGATATATGAATATGAACCGATATGATTTGGTAAGGGTATTTCTGTGCTGAATTTCATACATTTCCTCAAATATCGTTGTTACAGAGTGCATATTACGGCTGCGGAGGACAAAAATATCAAATCGGATGAATAATCTATATATAGGAGCTATAGCTATATCTGAACCGATTTCGATCAAATTTGGCACACTTATTTTCAGGTTTAATTTAGTCGTATATGCAAAACTCTATACTATTTGGGCTGATATTACACTTTTGGTGAACAATAAAAGGAAAATCAGATGAAGATTTAAATGGGAACTGTATCTAAATTTTGACCGATTATCTCCAATTTCAATAGGATTCTTCGTTGGGTCAAATTTTCTTGTGCAAATCGGGAAATAAATGCTACCTGTACTTTGTTACATGCATAAATCGACTCAGAATGTGATTCTATGCAGATCGTCAAAAGGAACTATGGGTCTAACTCGTTTCATTTGCCTGTTACAAAAAAATGCACAAAGACATAATATCCTGACCACCTTATGGTGTAGGATGTAAAAATAGAAGGCCTCTCCGAACTCTTCGATAGTCCTCTCCGAGGTCTTCTATATTATATATGGGAAGCTCTACGATATTCCATAAAATTCCTCTCCGGGCTCTTCTATATTCTATAAAAGGCCTCTCCGAACTTTCCGATATTCTATAGGAGGCCTCTTCGAGCTCTTCTATATTCTATAGAAGGCCTCTTCGAGCTCTTCTAGTTCCTATAAAAAGCCTCTTTCTTTTTTTATATAAGGTACTTTCCATTCTACCTACATCATCAAAACATTTTTAGTTTTCTTAAAAATTCATGCTCCATAGCAAATATTTCTCAAAAATTAACCTCCTCAAAAAATATTTCTTGCAGATCCGCACATTATGAGGAATTCGACGGCGATTGTTGTCCGTATTTGTGATGACAGTTATTTAGGCAAATCGAATGAGAGTATTACATCATTCTTCTAAATTATTGGTATATCCTTATCGTCCTTTAAACCTCGTCCTTAAAAATACATCAGATTTCTAGTATTTTGATCAAACCTTCAAAATTGTCCGAAGACAAATAATATGGCATTTGGGATTCCTTGTGAATAGAAAAAAACTTAAACGATTTAGATTTACTTATTGATATAGCCGGAGTGTAAATCAATCAATCAAAAAATATCTCGCTCGAATACAAAATCTCCATCCATGTATACTGTCTTTATTCCCTTTATTTATACTTATTGGAAGATGGCATAAAAAACTTTGACCCAGTACTAATTTTCATTTATAACTGTGGGTTCGAAAAATTTTGTTTATAATTTTCATTTCAGTCAGAATATTTTTGGTTTATTTTATAAGAATTATAAAAATTTTATTTTTTTAAATTCAACTAACGAAGCGTTCGCAAAGGTATGCGAACTAAAAAGTATTTTTATGTTTGTACAGATTTTATTACCGAAAAAAACCACGTTTACTTTGAAACTTCTAATTGAATTTGAAAACAATTTGAAAAAAAATTATTTGAATAAGACATAAGTTCATTTGTGTTTCAGTTCGGTCAAAATTTTGATATTAAGTTTTAAAGTAAAAAAAAACAGAGATGGGGTTTAAAATAAATATGTACAAACTACATTAAGAAAATTACGTGCATATGTATGAGTGTATATAGTAAAAAAAAAACATTTAAATATTGTAAAGATTATCGACTAAATTAAAATTATTCAAACCAAATATCAATGTATATATGTATGTAATTGTGTTTTTCTAATGGTATTCACATTTTATAATGTCTTGTATGTTGCATTGTGTACAACAGCTTTATATAGTTCAATGTATTTCTATAAGCTAAAATAATGTAAGATAATAATATCCATCTTATTACCCGATTTTTGTAAATTCTTTTAATTAGAAATAATTATAAATATATTATAAATATTTAAATAAATAACTTAAATATTCAAAAAACTATTATTTATAAAACACATATAGATAACCTTATGTATGTTCTAAGCTAAAGCCGTTAAAATATAATAAAAATAAATGTGACATGTTTTTAATTTAAAAATATTGTTTATATTTATTTCTTTTCGAAATGTGGATACATGTGGGGTAAGTAATGGGGAAAAAGGTTATGATACGGATTGAGTGAACAAATTTTTCTGCATTAAAGGCTTTTTTTAAATTAAGTTCGATGTCCGATTTTTAACAAATTCTTTGGTGCCTGTTGGGGTGAACAAGGTATAAATGGAATATGGGGAACATAGTTTCACTTCTCTGGGTACCACAGCCAACAAAATCATTTTTCGGTTTGGTCCAAAAATCCCCTCATTTCCTTCTTTTGAAAAAAATCTCTAGAAAATCTAAAATCTTATGCATGAAACTAAATTCATTTGCTAGATAAAGGGTGACTTTTTTAAGAGCTATAAGATTTTTTTTTCAAAAAATTCATCATATTCTGAGAATATATTGAGCACTTTATTTAAATTGATAGTACGGTCCATATAATTTGGCATACTTTTCCAAGATTTCGACCGGTATCTCAAAAAATGCTTCAATGCTGTCTTCCAATGCACCAATTAAAGCGGGATCGTCTGTATAGACAAGAGACATATCCCCACAAAAACTTATTTAATTTTATCTAGGGGGTCAATTGATCGGGCCCAAACGTGAAAAAAAATATTCGCCGAACTCGCATCTTAATTAGTCCATTGTTACTAGAGTTGTGTGATTCTAGTTCGATTGAACGAATTAGTTCCTTATCTAGTTATGTAGACTACGGTCGTTTGTATGAAAAATCTGCGTATGAGTGATATGAAATTTTAAAATAACTCATACGTTTAAGATTTGGTGTACTGAACTATGAACTAGATTGACATAACTCTAATTTTTAGCACAGCCACATGTCACGCAACTTAAGTTATTGCATTATGGGCTAAAAAAATTGAAAATTGTTGCGTTACGATTAGCAGAAATTTGGACGTAGCATGGTCTAATGATCCCATCAACCCATAAACCGCATCAAACTGTGGTGCTTTTTTGATAATAAAATGCAATGATTTTAAAGCGTTGTTCGTTTGTGAGACGATACGAACGACAAAAAAAAATGGAGTATAAATTGCGATATTCTGTACACCTATATATAGGACTAATTGTTGCCAATAATAATCGATATTTGCAGTACGGGTTTACTCCTTTATCCCTAAGGGGATAACCGCTTTAAATTGAACTAACATTTTATAATTTTTGCGTATTTGGGTAACTTAGCCATGCGAAACATTTTAAGAAAGACGAATATTTTTTACGTCGGTAGGTCGGGATAGACCTTATAGAGCCGATTTTCAGATAAGAATTAAATTAAACTAAAATTCTTTTGGAAAATCTTTTAAATCTTGGAAAACTGAAGGAAAGAACATAACAGTTGGGTTTGTCTTCTTCTATTGAACTAACGATCTCGTAATTTGGATAAATTTTTTTTTTTTTGTCGTAGGAATTATTTTTAAAATAACTCCTGGGAAGAATATCCCAGACAAAAAAGCAAGGGAACTGATGAGGATTGGTGGCTCTTTCGAAACCTTGGTATGCAATGCCTTACCCCTAATAAACATTGCCATCTTTCTAACAAATAAACGTTGTTTTCATAAAAAACAATTTTTTATACCCTCCAACATTTTATGAATGGTATATTAAGATTGTCATTCCATTTGTAACACCTCGAAATATACATTTTAGACCCCACAGAGTATATATATATTCTTGATCAGCATAAAATTCTATGTTGATTTAGCGATGTCCGTCCGTCTATCCGTCTGTGGAAATCACTCTAGCTTCCGAACGAATTGAAGTAGATTGATAAAATTTTACTCAAATGTATGTTATGTCTGCAGGTATTGAAAATGGGCCATTTAGGTCCACGTTTTGGTATAGCCCCCATATATCGGTACCTTA